TCGTGCACCCCATGCCCCATGATCCACGAATGCGTGGGGCGTGCAAATCTGGAAATCTGGAATCTGGAAACCTACGTCCTGCAGAAAGCCGGAAATCAGGAGATGCAGACTCTGGAAACCTCTAGACGTAGATCTTTCGGGGGGTATATATATATATATAACCCTAAACCCAAACCCTAAAGCCCTAAGGGGTTCATCCACAAAGGTTCAGGATTACAAATCCTAAAACCTGTAGGATTATAAGCTAAATCCTACAAGTTTATTGGTGATATCATCTTATGCTAGATTGCCTTTAAACTATATGGTACTTTTTCCCTCATATTTTAATGCCGTAAAATACTGAAGAATCATTCAAAATGCATACTGTACGTGTACAAAACCATACAATATCAAATAAACTTCACAACATAACAGAACATAGCCCAATATCATGTAGTGTTACTTCATGTAGTAAACTGTGATCTACTAGGGCATGTTATCTCACAGGGTATGCGTTTCAGTATATCATGATGACATGACAGAATAGAAAATAACATAGCATGATATGATATAACCAGTATAACATAACATATCAAAATCGTTAAACAATGACCCGGCATTGCTAAAAACCTTCGAAACTGTACATCTTACACTGTGACCCGACAAAGAGAAGACTTGCATAAGATGGGTTTAGAGGTGGGTTTAGGAAGCTGGACTTTTCCTGTGCGAGGCTGGTCCATGGTTAGTCTAGCCCGAAGGCCAATACTCTATGGCCTATATATGTATGTCATGTAGGCTTTGAGGTTTAACACAACACGTACATCCCGGGCCCACTCCCGGACAGTTCGTCCTCGGGCTGTGACGTGCGGTCCGTCTGCCACAAGTGGGCAGACCAAAAAACAGATGTACAAAAACAGCCAAAAAATATCCACGCTTCTCTGGCGTCCTAGCGCAGGCTGGAAAGGCTAGTGGATTCTACCTGTAGCATGCATCCGTGCTCCAGTAGCATCCACTAGCTCTCTCCAGATAGAAGCTTCATTGCCGTGTAGACAGATTGTTTAGAATGTTCCATTTATGTTACTTTCGTTCATGAATCAGTTCTTGGTGCAAGTTACAGCTCGAGTTGAAAGAGAGCAGGGCTTGTGACAAGTGCAACAGTGTGTTAAATGCTCTTGTGCCGGAAGCTGTGTCAGATTCGCTCAGCCGAGACGCTGTCTGCAGACCTCCGAAGTCCAAACTCTGCCAGGACCTGCAGAAAGGCGATGAGCGCGAGACCGCCTTGCTGGAGTTGTCTAAGCGAAGGGAATCTCTGCAAGATCTCGCGTCTGGGCCCTGCCTTGGTAGCTTGGTCCTCCCTTACGGATGAGTCCATCTTTCAGGCCAATCCTGTGGCATTCGTTCGGCACAATCGTGGCGCTCATACAGGACATTCAATCGACTGAATCCGCGCTCGGCAGTGCCGCACGAGACAAGTCAATCAGCACATGTTCATCCTTAATGTACTTTTTCGACCTCGAATGCTTGAACCCACGGAGGAAATAGTGCAAATCTACCCGCAGCTGGCGCAGCCTCCCACATTGACCGCAACAGCGTCCAATCGCGTCTGCAACTCGCTGGCTTTGTTGCAATGTGCAGAGCCCTCAGATGGAGTTACCACTGTGATGTGAGAATCTGCGGCCATGCGAAGCGATGTGCTCGTGAGTCTGATGAGGTGGCTTCCCATCCAGAGACTCGCCCTTTATTTCTGAAGGTCGACCTGCCGCTTCGCAGTCACAGCATGCCGCTTTCCTGCTGTGATTCGTGACTCAAAGCCGGGGCTCGAGCGACAAATGAGAGCTGCATCTGCATCATGAGGACTCTAAGACGACACCATGCAAACGAGATGGAATGCCTCGCATGTCAACTGCCTTCTGTGTGTGTCTGGTTGCAGGCGCAGATACCCTTGCTGCTGTACCCTTTCCTGAACACGTCTAGCGCAGTGGCCCTGCTGCATGTGCTGGAAAGCAAGAACTGCCCGAGTGCTGACAGCCACAGGAAAGGCCCTTCGAATACCTTCGGCTGACCTCTCTCGGGGTTATCGGAGCTCTGGTGAAGGCGCAAGCCCAAGAGACCAGCTGGGCCTAGCTGCCGGTCAGGAAGCCCACCAAACCCAGGTGGACGATCAAGATGTCATTGTCTTTCTGCTCAACACTGAGATCATTCCGCTTTGTCGGGCTCTCAGGAGCTGCCCTACAGTGTTCTGGAAATTCTTACCGTATGTCCTAGCTCACCTCCGGAGCCATCCAACTTCCGCACACCATTGGTTGATCGCGCTGTCTGTGCAGGTCTGAGGATAATGGAAAGCGGCAGCGAACTGTCCAAAACAGCTGCGCCCCTTGTTTGGCAACCATGCCAGTCACCATTGTCCGCTGAAAGCAAGGTTGCGACATTTATCGTGCAGAAGCTCCTGCTGGATGAGTCAGCCGTGAGCCTGACTTGTCACCGCCTCCATACAGTATTGTTCTGCGTACGTGATGAGCAGAAGTGCAGTGCATTGTTGCCACATCGCGTTTGAGAAAGTCTTGCATGTGTATCCCATGTATTTTCCAGTCGCTTGATCCCAAGGCTCGTCTGTTTCGCATCGACAATTCTCAAAGGCTGATCTGACATCATCTTTACATAGACGCACTACCAGAGGTGTAACAGCTAGCCGGGGCCGCTGCTGTGACGGCTTGTGTTGCAGCTCTGGGCCCGTTGATTAGGCAGGTTCGTCTTTCACTAACATCATGGTTGCTGCTCTGGTGACAGGGCTGTTTGCGTCAGGCTTTTTTTTTATCGGATTTGGGCATCGCTGGATGGCACTTGCCGGAACGGGCTTTTACACACCCCGCAAAGTGGAATATGGAATTCGCCTTGTCATGCAGATCCGACAAGCTTGATTCGGTTTCCAACCGAGAACACCATTACAGTGAAAATGGCGGAAATCTGTCGCGCGGCATGGCGGCAAGAAAATGGAGCCTTATTCTCTGGCTAAGGGCTTGTACTACGTGTGCGACTCTGCACATCGTTTCTATGCAGTGAAAGACCCAGCAGCGCCTGCTTAAGCGACTTTGCATTGCGCACGAACTGGACCTGTCTTCTTTCGAGTCGGGAGAAGACGAGGTGGCAAACGTGCTCTCCAAGATGGTGCCTCACCCAAGACTGTGGAGCGTTTGACACTGACGTGTGTGCGCTTGGACCGAGGTGGGTGTTCTTGTACAGAGCCCGTCGATCCGGTTGCTCAAGGCCGAGCAAATCCAGTACTCGATTTGATACCTTGCAAATCCAATCCAACCCGTGCAGCACGTGGTTCGGTGCTACCTGCGCCTCACTGAAGATCCTCGAGCCAGGGAGGTCTTTGCCCAGCCGTGCGTTTGCTTTTGTCTTGTGTCATGCAGCTTCCATGACAGCTCGATAGCGTGGATCCTGATATTGAATGCAGGATGTACACCGAGCGCTTGTCTTTGCGCCGTTCTTCTATATCACCGTCACGTCAGCAGCAACGGCAGCAGTAGCAACAGTAGCACGTTCTTGTACTACGACAACAAGGGCTGCTAGTAGTAGCAATGGTGCTGGTGCCAGTACCTTTACCAGTACTAGTATGACGATGACGACGACGACAACTACTACTAGTATTCTTCCTGCTACAACAGCAACATCAGCAACAGCAGCAGCAGCAACAACAACAACAACAACAGCTGCTGCTGCTGCTGCTGCTGCTGCTCCTGCTGCTGCTGCTGCTGCTGCTGCTGCTACCACCATCCCCCCCAATGCGACTACGACTGCTGCACACCTTCCACTACTACAACCACTATGACTACCACTACCGCCACCACCGCCACCGCCAATGCCACAACCACGACCACTACCACTGCCACTGCCACTGCCACTACCACTACGACGACGACGACGACGACGACTACTACTACTACTACTGCTACTGCCACTGCTACTGCAACTGCTACTCCTCCTCCTCCTCCTGCTGTTGCTACTGCTGCTGCTGCTGCTACTACTACTACTACTACTACTACTGCTACTACAGCTAGTACTACAGCTACTACTACAGCTACTCCACTGCCACCTCCACTGCCCACCACGACAAACACCACCACGACAAACACCACCACGACAAACACCACCACCACCACGACAAACACCCTCACCGCGGCCGCCGCCGCCACTGCCGCCACCCCCACCACCGCCGCCACCACCACCANNCATTACCACCACCATTACCACCACCACCACCACCACCACCACCACCACAAACCAGAACACCACCACAAACCAGAACACCATCACAAACCAGAACACCATCACCTCACCGCCATCACCGACATCAGTGCCATCGCATCATCATCACCAACTCCAGCAACGACGCTGACGACGCTGACAACACTAGAAACAACTGCCACTACTACCGTCGCACCGGCTCGGCCACATATATCTCTTTGGCAACATGCAAACCTAGCAGGCGAAATACGGCGAAGGCTCTCGTTGCTCTAGTTGAAGCGTTCTCCCACAGGTGCTGCGGCAATGCCTTCCTGAGGGCCTGCAATCGGATCCCTCACTGAAGGCGGGCTGCCACCGCTGCGTTGGATTGTTGTGCACTGTCTCTGCATCTCACATTTTCCTGTGGCTCTGTCTGTGTCTGCCCCTGCAGCGCCTGCCGCCCTCCATCAGCCAGAGCTTAGAAGAGGACATGTCTGGGGCTATTTTGCGTGCTGGTAGAGCTGACAGAAGGTGGCTTAGCTTCATCAGATGCAAGGATCAGACGACCAAGCGCTGGCTTGGCCAGCTGCTGACGAATCTAAACTATCGGTGACTGCACGAATTTGGTGCTGACAACGAGCCCAAAAGTCCGTCGTGCCTGCTCAGCACATGGTGCGAGAGCTTCCAGTCATATCAGGCCAGCTTTAGAAGTTGATTCGATGGAGGTAGGCTGGACATGTTAAGATAGATTCAGACAGACTCAGATAGATTTTTTTGAAATTTGTACGCATGCACTCGTGCCAGCTTGGTTGACTGCAACTGTGCACCAGGTGTGCACCTTTACATGAGATCAACCTTGTGCCCTGCCCAGCCTGGCTTGCAGAAAATCAGCAGAATCATGTGTGAGCAGCTGAAGTTTGCTGGACTACTTCCTTTCTCATGACGCACGAAGACCATGAGAAGGGTAGCAGCGGGTAGCACGGCCAACGTCAGAATTCGGGCAGGAACGCACAGCCCAACGCCACCAGGATTGAGCCGAGCACTCTAGGACTCCTAGAGCTTCAACAGGGACATCCCAAGAAGATGCAAGAAGTCCAAGAAATCGTTGCATTCACTTTGCAATGCGATGGCAGACGGCGGCCTGGAGCTTGGCAGATTTGGGCAGTGTCTCGTAGGAGCACAGCCTTTTCGGTAGCACAGCTCCAACCCAAGGCTAGGATGCAGCGAGAGACTGCATGCCAGCTTCAGTGTAGATTGCTGTAGAGGGGGCTGACGATGCAAATAACGAGGTGAAGGAGTGGGCTGGCTGACAAGCGCGAGACGGCATTTGCCGCCCAGTGGAAGTGGACGTGCCCGGAGGAGATTAGCCCAAGTCTTGGACCAGCAAGGGTTAGCGCTAGCTGGCTGAGAGTTTCAAATGAGTTTCAGTAAGAAAGCAAGGTGTTGGGACTTACATGGTGTGCTGTCGCACACCTGTGGCACGGCCACAGATGCCAGAAAGGAGCTTACCGGACACGAGTCGGCCTCTGTAGACATTCTGAACGCTTCCTGGGCTGAGGCCTTTCGCCTTCGGTCCTGCAGCACCAGTCTCAAGTGGTCAGGAGGTTGGGTACCCAGATGCCTTTCCAACACTCGCTGCAGACCGTTCTTTGATCCGAGGTAGACGATGCAGGAGTGCTGCTGTTGGGACGAGGTGCTCAACATGACATAACTAAAAGCGTACCGAAGCAGCCCTGGATCCCAGCCCGCATCTCGTCATGGTCCCGGATCGTTGCAGAAACCCCGTAGCACCTTAAGCCGTGTTCTCAATCGGGTCTGCAGACACAGTGCCTCGGGATGGCAGTCGTGATCAGGTTTCACGATGCAGTGACTGTGCTTACTGCAGGGACGGGCTTCACCGCTCGAGCGTGTCGAAATTGTTGAGTGTTGCGGTGCTGGGCAATGCTTAGGCTTCAGCTTAACCCCTCCTTGTTCACGAGGAGTGCGCTTTTATGCCTTTTTCATGGTAGGACCGCTGCAGACCTTTTGTGCAGATTCATATGATGGAGAGAAGAGGCTTTGGCTCAGAGAGAAGGAACCCTCGCTGTGCATGACCTCAACCTCAACCTTCGCTTCCGTTGTTTGTACTCCTTCAGTTTTTCTTCGGTTCTTCGGCTGGAGAGACCAGGATCCGCAACAGCAACGAGGGGGGCCGGGCAGCTGGCACTGCGCTGGGCAATGGGTTAGACTTTAGACTCATACTTAGCCTTAGCTTTCGCTTTGGCTCTGGACTTGGCAGCACGGATGACAGTCGCACCCGCACGTCAATGAATCACGACGTGGGCGATTTGTGCTGCTTGGCTATGTTTGTTCGGAAAAAAGGGCCCGGCAAAGGGCGCCAAGCCAGGATCCCAAACAAGGTAACGGCACGGGCGGGGACAAGAAGGGCAAGGTCATGGTCGGCTAGGGCTGCCTGACCTGTGGCCGATCCAGAACGGCATGAACCGTGGGGGCCGCAACAGCGCGATCAGGAACAGAGGGGCATGAACCACGACTTTCTTGCCATTGCGGTTGGATTCAGGACAGCACGGACCGCGGATTTCACCTTGATTGGTGCGATCTGGGGCATGCACTACGATTGCGGCTCCGGATTCCTTTCAACCAGGAACATCTTCTTGTCATGTCTGTCAATGCGGAGTTTCATTGCTTGTCTTCTGGGTCTCCTGGTTCTGTTCCGACACAGGCGCCGACGAATCAGCGACAGGAATGCTGATTTTACATGAACTGAAATGTCTCAACATCATATGAGCACATGAGAATATTGCTTTTGGACCCAGCCAATCGACTTTGGGGCGTTGAGATTTTGCAAACTTACTTGGGGCATCTCACGATACCGGTAGACGCGCCGGTAGACGCGGCTCTCTGTATTCACCGAGCTACGTAAGCAGGAGGAGAAGGTTTTAAATTTAAAATGATATTGAGCCACCCGATGCCCCGTGCTTGACTGGTGATTTGTTTCGTGTGTCGATTTGATCATGGAGCATTCTCAGCATTCCCCCGTCTTGCTGGGTGAACGGTTCTGCATTCTTGCGCGGCCTGGCAGAAGCCTGGTGTTTCAATCGATGGCGGGCGGAGACGGATGATGTGCGCGGCGGAGCCTCCAGCGCGCAGTTCAAGGTGGGTGTTGCGTGCTTGGCTTGCCTGTTGCGAGTTACACGAGTCATGTCAGGGTTTAACGGATGCCTCTGGAGATGCTGAAACTTCGTTGCAATCAGAATCCAATGTGCGATTGCTGCTTGCGAGGTAGTAAGAGGTAGTATTTCCTGCACGTGGGCCACATGTCGATTTTTCTCATGCCGTTTGACCCAGGAATTCTGTGGCATGTTGTCTTCCTCTGTCCGCGATCCTTTTGCCAGCGTCTCCCTACAGGCACGTCTTCTGGATGTTGTTTTGGTGTTGTTCCGCAGAGCCGTTTCGAGCAGAGGCTGCTAGTTGCAGAACTAAAGGCACGAATTTTCACCGACCAATTCAAGCATCAATCCGAATAGATGACTAATGTGGACATATCATGAGCTCCGCTGTCTTGTGCAAAATTCTGTGTGCAGAATGTTTGCTAATTTAGTTGGTGGCCTTGTTGACAGAGTCATGGATGCCAAGTCACTTGTTCAGCAATTCGTGGAAGTGTGTGCCTATACTGCTGTTTTCAAGCGGTTGTTCGATCCAGTTGTCTTGAATGTCACATGCAACACATGCACTCGCATGCAGGCATCTGCGCTGCCAGAACCTCTTTCGGAAATGAAAGGTTTAGTTCTTGACATATCTGAGGCCGGAGCGTGCGCAGAGCTTTCTGATTCGGCACGCTTGTATGATGCAACTAGTTTGGCTGGCAAGGCGGATGGCTCAGAATATTCGGTGAGGTGCCAAGTTGCTAAGCGAATGGTGTGTGTTGTGTCAGTTTTTGTTCGTGGTATGTTCAGTGCCTCACCGGCATAAGGTCGGACTACGAATGCTGGGTGCGCCAGCCGGCATTCAGCATGCGTTTAAGTGTGGGCCTCTGCTACATATGACACACCGCAAGAGTTTCTGCAGTTGCATGTGCCAGGTTCACAGCGGAAGCGGGCCGTCTCGAGATGTACTTTCGAGACTTTCAGCCTCTTTGATTGTGATGAAGACCGGGAGGCTGCTATAGTGAATGCAGCTGTGGTCGAAAGACTGTTCAGGCCGATGCTACAGGGGCGAGTGCAGCCCGACGACGAGACGCGCCTCGTTTTGGAGAGGGTGCTCTCAAGCGGGTTCTGTGGGCAGGTCTGTTTTGGTAGAAGCCGGCAGGTGGAGTCGATCACCATCCAGAAACACGGAGCCAACGGTCCTTCACATGAGCATTGCTGGCTTGCTTGCTGCTCTTCTGACTTGCATGCTTGGCCGCGAGACTGGATCTTCATTAGGCCGTTTTCGCTGGTGCTCCGCAGCGCATGCGGCTCGAAAAGATTTGACGACTGGCTTGGCCAGCTGGGTACTTGCAATCGAGGTCTGTGGAATTCCGGGACGTGATCTGCCACCGCTTGGGAGCTCAGCATGCAGTTGTTGTCCATGCGCACGAAAGCCCAGTGCCTGCGATTTGAGAGGAGCTTTCAACCGAGGCCCCCGCCTCCTGCCCGCAAAACCAAATGGACGTGCAGGGCATGCGGTCCAGTGCTTACTCGCCTGTTGATCCGATTATGGCGCAATCGCCCCAAACAGCACGTGTCAGGGACGATGAACTTCGATTCGTCCGATTCCTGCACGCAGAGGGCTGAGTTTTGATCAGTGTCTGCTGTCTGGTTTGAGGCAACATGGATACAGTTTGACTTTACACCCCGACTGTGTTCTGCTGTCTGACTTTCTGAAGCAGGGAGGCACAACAATCGGGGGATCGCTGCAAGAGGGGTGTTGAGTTATGCTTTCAAAAGCAAGAGAATGCGAATTGTACTCTTCTGCTGCACACTTGTCCATGAGTACGAGATTTTTCGGCGTTGGCGAAGAAAGTGTGCTCGAAAGCGACATAAAGAGTGTCACAAATACAAGGTGGAGGCAACTGATACACCCACATGTGGAAGTCGGCCCTTGTTTTGGTGAGTGGCTGCAGTCATTGGGCGCAAGCTTGCCAGGAAGTCGGGCCTTGTTGCGGTAGCAGGGGATTCAGCACATGTTTTGAAACACAGTCGTCATGTACAAGTGGTCGGTTTATCTCGCATCGTTGGATTGAAATACGCATCGATGAGCGTCCACACTCGGGAAACCGCTTTCAAACAATCACCTCTATTTGCGAACGATCGGATTGTTCCACGTGGAATCGAGTGTCTAGATGGGAAATGGCTGGGTTGGATGTGGTGTGCTGCCACTGACGTCTCGTCTCGAGTGGGTGCTTGTGGAATCGAGCGTCTAGATGGGGAATGGCTGGCTTTGATGTGGTGTGCTGCCAGTGATGCCACTGATGCGCGTCTCCAGTGGGCACTTGTGGAATCGAGCGTCTAGATTGGTTTTGATGTGGTGTGCTGCCACTGATGTGCGTCTCCATTGGGCACTAGTGGAATCGTGCGTCTAGATGGGGAATGGCTGGTTTAGGTAATATGTTGATGCCACTTGTGTCTCGAGATGGTGCTTGCGAAATC